CAGAGTGGCAGTAACCGCGGCAACAGCTACATACAAGTGGTCTTTAGGGTTAGCTACAGGTGTAATGTGTGGAAGTTAATCGTATGATGGTACCTTGGGTTGACCCATATTTAGAAGCTCCTCAATCTAGCTCTTATTTAGAGGCCCCTGCCTCAAAAAGACGAATTTCTGATTTGATCAGTACCTAAGCCCAGTTCAGGATAGGCCCGATTTGTATTCCTGGAGTTCCGAGGTCGACCTCACTTAAAAGTTGCTGATTTAGTTTTCACAGGTAAAGGACAAAATAAAGTCTCGGGACGTTAATCAATTCCATCGGAGGAATACGCCCACGCATTCGACTTCTATTCAGAGCTGCATTGACGCACTGAATGCGTGTGTGGCCTACACAATGATGTACAAGTCAGTGCTTTGATCCTCTCAGGCGAGTCTGATACCCATTCACCGACCCTGGAGCGATGGAAGGTTGGTTGGCCTGGGCTTGGATATCTATACGGGGTTCGAACCCGTGACGATAGGTGTGTACAGTGCACAGAACGATTTCACAGATACTCTCAAATCTGTCCAGAATGATGGGAACATCCACTAGAATGTTGTAGTCGTGAGCAGTTAAAGCAGTCAGGCTCAACTGAATCACGACGGCCCAAATAGCGTAGTTGACAAGCGTGCTGCTCTGAGAGCATATATACTGGTACGATCTCCTGGCAATGTAAAAGTTTAGTCCACAATATTGCATGGGGAACTGCACCAGGTCAGAGCTGCCTAACAAATCAAGCTGAAATCCAGTAGAATGATGTTGGGCAGTAGAAAATAATGTGAAGAGAGACTGCTGAAGAAGGATGATGATTCCTGATGGTAAAAAGAAGGCGCATGGTACATCGAAAAGGGATGCGCCATGTTGAATTTTAAAGGACGTCCAAAACTGAGCATATCGTTTTTCTGCCTTCTATGGTGGCCAGTTCACAAATAGTGTAAACATCTGTGGCAGATCGTTTGTTTGGTGTGAAATATTTCATCGATTGATTCATTCATTGGTCTCCCTGAATGGGATGGATTCCAGATGCAAGTCGAGCCATTACTATTCCTCTTTCCAAAAATGAAAAATGCAGAGGGGAGTACCAAAACTAGTTGCTGTACGAGATAATTGGGATCAAACCGAAAAGCTGTTGGGAATTCTTCTGGAGGTGCACCGTGTGGGACAGCTTTGTCGACAACTGTGGAAGCTTTCTAATAGCTCATCTGAACGAAGAGGATGGATCTTATCTCTGATTGTGTACTCTTTTTTTAAACTTTCCGAGCCTGAAGAGAAAGTCAGAGAGAATTAAATGAAATCAAGCCCACTACCGGCTTTTGTAGTCCAAGTGTGCCTACTTTCAACGCCATGGCGGTCGCCGAATTGTATGCTGATACCTAAATCTTATCCTAGCAGCTGGCACTGTAGGCTGGGGACTTTACTGGCAAAGAAAGAATTGGGACCGGAATTTGATTCCTGATTAGATAAAGCTCTAATCAGGGAATCTAACTGCCTAGGAACCTATCACCTGCCGCTACCTAAAAAACTTCGTTTAAATCAAGTAGTAAATAGAAAAGTGAACGTTTTTCGGAGTTGGTCTATGGGATGCGCCTCCGCATTTGATTTCATTCAGTATCGTTGTGGCCATTTTATGTGACTCCTGCAACGAGTTCAGGAGATCAGCTGATTAACAGATTAGTTTTTCTTCTCCAAACCAGCCCGGTCTGGATTAATGGACCCCTTAGGGCTGGAAAGCTTGGGCGGCTTGAGCTGGGATCAAGCTCGGCTTGTTTCTAGGACCTTGCGAGAGACACCGCGCAGCTTTGAGCTACACCACCTCCACAACTAGAACTAATATGTAGAAATCAACCAGCAAATGAACAAAACCATTTCTTCCGGGCCAGCAAGTCCAAGTGAAACGCAAGGTTCATGTTGGGCTTGCTACTCGTCGACGGGGAAAAGGAGCTCTCGCAACCCTATAACCTTTCAATCTGGTCCGTTTCCTCAGAAACAACCGTTTACCATCAACAACTTGTTTAATTTTTTTCGCTTATTTTGATTTTTCTGGTTATTTTTTATCCTCAACTTCAATAAAGCAATAAGTAAACAATGAACAGTAACTAGTAAACAACAACATTCCGGTTTTCTTTTCTAACTGCAACTAAGCCATTTTCCGGAAAACAGGGACCAAAAACCCAGAAGTCAGTCGTGCGGGCGGCCTGGGCGCAATGTAAGAAGCCTCAACTGGCACGAAAGCTATTCGGGCAGATTTGTGTCTTCAGTTTGTGTCGCCTGAATGGAACACAATCGTTGTGAGGGGTCTCCACGGGGCGAGAAGAGCTGTGTAATAGCCATATCGTTAAGGGCCAACGATGGTGTGTGATTTATTCAGAGACGTTTCGAAGAGCGCGGCGCCAGCCAGCAATGGCGGCAATGGGGGTAAAACGGCTTTCGGAAGACATCCCGCTTCAGGGCTCTTGGGATATGAGGGTGTTTATGAGCGAACCGCAACGATCCAAAATTAGATGGGTTGGATTTATGGTCTAGCAACTCAGTGTAGCACATAGGCCAAGCCAGAAGGGAACTATTGGTTATTATGGGGGGAACAAAAAAAGTATCACAATAGCATGAACTATATAGTTAGCAGGGACTAGTTGAGTATTTCAATTTATCGGTCTTAGTTCATGATATTCAAGTTAGAAATTAATTGGGACTTCGGCGAAGTGCGTTTTACAGCTTTTTCCGAGGAATCCTCTGGCTTGTCACAGTTACCGTAACTCCCTACGACAGAAACGAGTAAAGCTCTTGCTGTATTCATGGCCCACGAATCATATCCCGGGTCGGACCCCTCGGCTCACAAGCTTTCTATCCTTACCCCTATGATTTCTTCCAGCGAAACGACCCAGGGAATTTAGCGGAACCTTTCCGATTCAACAATTTTTGAGCGGACCTGTAGCTTCGGGTACTGTAAAACTTCTGGCGAATTTTCCGATTGAAATAAGTTTTTATAATACATTTCCAGACGAGCTTGGTGCCAATAAGTCGATCTGATACGGTCACAAAGCGTAGTCGTTTTAATAACCGTTTTCGAAGTCTGATTCCAAAAGGGAAGGCTTATTAGCCATGTCCTTTCCTCATTCTTCTGATGCTTAGCGTGGAACAGTATCCCCTCCAGAATTTTCCTAAGTCATACAGAACCTACTCGGAAGTTGAAAAAAAATTTGATAGGGCAATTAGAACTAGAGCTAAATCAGTAGGCAAAACTTGCCTGGGAGACCTCAATTGTTCGGTGTGTTAAAAAAAGGCATGGAAAACTAGAAAATACTATATTTACTCTAAAGCTGATCCACAAAATGGGACCATAATAAAATAAAAATAAAAAATGAAATTTCTGAAGTGGAAAAACAAGTGAGTTTGGGAAATTCTCAAGTATTAGTGAACATTCTTTGCTTCTCCTCGATAATCACCTAATTAATTCAGTGATAGAAACACTTGAATTATTTACTCCTCTGTTTCTCTATTTGTTTACTTGCATAATGTTTTTCAAGAAAAAAAAACAAACAGATGTAACTGGTGCGTTTACCGGTAAGAATAATGCAAAATCAATATCGACCAAATATGGTATTTTTAATAGCTTCCACTAAACTTCAGAAATAAACTCTGTCTGGGAACTCCCACATATGCATTTTTTTCTGTGGTCCTTAGTGGCAAATCTCATTCCAAGTTCTTTGCCTTTGCTGTTCACTCATCATCTTCACAAGGGCCCATTAACGATAGGAAAAAATGATTGAAGTAAGGGAAAACAAGGTCGTATTACAGCAGCCGCCATCCATCGCTGAACTCATATTGAGGGAGGGAGGGAATAAAGTTTCTGAGATCCGGGGGAAAAAAACGTGGTGTGATGACCTCTCTGTGTGTGGGGATGATTGAGGGGTGAGGTTGTGTGAAAAGCGAGTTTTTCAGACGGTGACGCTCTTTCCAATGACACCATCAGCACATCGTATCGCTACGAATGATCTTCAATTTCAAAAAGGGCTAGGGACTGGCTACAGTTTGAACAAGAAAAGTGTTATAAACAAGATTTAAATGAAGTAAACAATAAATAGAGTAAATGACAAAGGAAAATCTTAGACATCCCCTCAGATTGAAGATGGGAATCCGAGAAACTACTGAAGAGGTAGTTGGTAGAAATTGATGGCCATCACTGGTACGGGAGTCACTGATACAGGAAGGAGCGATTCGAAGAATGAACGAAATTTGATGGAAAACTTGGAAGTAGGAGAACTTCTTTCCAAAAAACCAGTGAAGGGTATGACTAGCATTGGAAGGCAAGGGTAAAAAGTCTAGGAGGATCTTGAAAGTAAGTGAGGCGAAAATCGTTGTAAATCATACTACATTTGGCATCGCGTCTAATTGCAAGTCGGGATACGCCACAGCTCAAGCCTTTCGCATTTTAGGGTGCGCCCTGGATTCGACTTCTACTCAGAATCCCAGTGATGATTTGAATGCCTATGTAGCCTACACAATGAATGCGGGGGCCAGCTGATGAACAAGTCGATGTTTTCATACACTCTGACGAGTCTGGGACCAATTAGCGGACCAAGAGGAGATGGTACATTTGGTAGCCCATGAGGAATTCAATCCTCGTACCGTACATGTGTGATAATGCGCCGCTGCCGCTACATCACCATCTGCACAATGAACTTGAACTTTATTAGACCTTCCTTTCTGGCTGACTTGGCAGTTATCACTCTCCCATGTTCCTTCCGTAATCATTTTACCCATTCAAGTCGATGACAGACTATCAAGCTGGCTGGGAACAATCTACCATTACTCAAGTGGTAAAGTGACCTATGGGGTATGTTCACATTCAAAAAAAGAGCACAGCAGAGCAAAAAGAGCACAGAATCCATTCATTACGAGCAAAACCGTTCCAGCTTCCTTCACCGTCGTGGTCAGTAGTCGAAGGTTCAAATAAATCGACAACCACCTACCTCGTCTCTAGATGAATAAGCCTCGCTAGCCATTCGGTCTCAGTGCCATTTCTTAGCAAAATGTCGGATGGTTGGAAAACGAAAGACGTCGTATGATTTGCATAATAAGTGCCTGAAATAGAACCAAAATCACCTGAAAACAGACAAAAATGGAATGGGATCAAGCAGGACTGTCTAGACTCGTAGCTATAAATTGTGGACTCGAGGAATCTTAATGCCTCCTTAGAGTAACCAAAATTGGAAAGGATTGGAGGATAGGACCATACTAATAAATCTTGTAGTTAGGGTAATAGCAGATGTATCATTTTCCCATGAAATCAGGTGTGACACACATCTCATAAACACCACCCATCATGTTGAACTCCGCCCATAGGCCCCTACCTATTCCTGGTGATCGCTATTTCAATTTTCGTACAAGCATGTATTATATGCGCAAAGCGCGTTTATCCTGTGAAAACCCATGAGTCAGGAGTAGAAATGGTTGACTAGCAGAATACGCCATGCACTTGACTTTCATCTGAACCGAAATCTCACACGATTCCGACTTCATCTTAATGTGAAAGTCTTTCGTTGTCCACTGCTCATCCTTCGCAAGGGCATTGTCATCAGCAAAACTATTTACGGATGTAAGAAAGACTGACTGTTCGAGGAGTTCGATCTTGACCTTGACATCTTGATAAACTACACCACAATGCAAAATGATTGACTAAACCATCCCGGTTTTTGTACAGGCCGACTCTATTATTTTCTATACGGATAGGGACCCCTTCTGATAATCAAGTTCACTTACCATAAGTCCCTTTGTGGTAGGTTTCATATCGGATCGATGATTGCCAGTCCAATACGTACCATTCGTTGTCTTTTAGGGAACACGACACGTAGTCCTGGAATGTGTTTGCATTTAACTCAGACTTACTGCAAGCGCAAAATCCGGAAAACCCTTTAGGATTCCTTACCGCATAATTGGTCGGTAAGTAAATAAATGGGCAGTCCGGTTCGGAAGCATTGAATCGTAAGGTCTTACTCAGTGGACCNCGCAAAATCCGGAAAACCCTTTAGGATTCCTTACCGCATAATTGGTCGGTAAGTAAATAAATGGGCAGTCCGGTTCGGAAGCATTGAATCGTAAGGTCTTACTCAGTGGACCATCGCGAGCCAGTACCTGGAATGAAAAAGGTAAACAAAGTATTTGCTCTAAAAGAGGTTCCGATAAAGTCCGCCACGCCACGTGAGTATCGATTGATTGTATTTATGATGCGCCACGCTTCAATCTTCACCCAAAATTGTAGTGGTCTTAACTATATGATCGGGGTGCACCATTTTACTCGGTGGGAGTCAGACGATCTACAAGCCAGTGTGTGGGCTAGATTCTATAGGGCCCACTTCCCATCTCAGTCATGCCAACACCTATAAGCCGATTACAAAGGGATAAAGAGATCAGGGGGCCATATACTGAACACTGTATCACATTGGGTATGGTGGCGGTGGCGAAGGAACCAATGTTTCCTCCCCTTTCTATGTTATACGGTCTCCCCTTGTCGTTTTAGTCTTCTGGTGGGTTGACGGCAAAAAGTGCGGCCTCGAGTTATGATATGAGTACTTCTTTATCTACTGTTGGGAGCTTTCTGGTAACAAATAAAACGGTACCTGGGGTCTAAAGTCATGGACACGAAGGGCGTTTTCGTGGTGAACAACTTTTCCCATTCTTGATCGATTCTCTTTCACTAGTTCCGGGTAAGAAACTGTCTCAAAAGAGAACGGAGGGGGTGGACCCTTCTTAGACAATTAGCTTTGTGACAGACCAACCATCAGACTTCCAACAGAGAGAATGTTGGCTCCACAAACATTTTTATCGTCATCACTGCCTTGAATAGAATTACTAACCTCAGATAAAGCATGAGAATATCGTGACAGTACATATTGACATTCTTCGTAAGCACCGAAATCTGGCGCCAGCCTGTATTCACCTTGATAGCCCTAAAAATATCCTGATAAATTGAAATTTTCAAGATCACGGAAGCTTCTTACCTGAAACCCAAAGCGACATTGTCGAGCACTTGTGACCTGTCTCCAAGTGAATACGACTGATGACGCTATACCTATAGCACCTTGCCGATCCCTGATCAGATCCCGTGGGGATTTTGAAGACTTCACTGTCATACAGTATCGAACTGGATGAGGGAGGTACTGAAAATCAAGAAGGAAATGATGTTTCTACAACGAAATGAGAACTGGCACTAATTAGTTGCTTGTAGTCACTCATTGAACAAAACTAAATGAAACGCAGAAAGGATTGACTGCCTCTTTTCCAAGGATAAGTCATATAGTCAACTTTGTTATAGATTGATAGAGCCTTTGAATGGCACTTGTCCCATGCGATTCCTCTAAAAGGCCCGCCAATGTATGGGCCTATACTCTACCACACTAGCCGATAGTTGCATCAAATGGTCCTCTTCAAAGTAAAAGAAGGTCCTGGAGCAGTATCGATAGGGATTTGATCCCCTGAACCGTAGGAGTGACGGTATGACCACTTGCCAGTTCCCATACCCTTTTCCCTGTAATCCTCATGATCAATACCTTAAGTCTTTTAAAGAACGTGCAATGAGCTCAGCTAGTTGGAAATGGAGTTAAAGCCGAAGCTCAGCTGAAGAAGAAGTTCATGCTTGTATACCTTCGCAAGATCGGGTCCTCATAGGATTGCTACCCTTTACGCTACGAAATTATAACTTGCTATAACTACCGATTTATTTAAGAACATCAAAATCCAGACATGGTGAAAATGTAGTTGGGGGGTGCCAGCGCCCTTTT